ACCTTAACAGCACTTAAGACAATGTTTAATTGTACAATTTAAAGCAACTGAAATCCTGGTTCCCAGTTAACTCTGTGCTCCTTGCCTTAACTTTTGCTACCCTCCACCACCTTACTTGTTTACATGCTGGCCAGAAACAAGGGCCCAGAAGACATTTGTGTCCTGGTCAGCATATATGACACCCCACACACCTTATCTTCTCTTAAATGCAGAACTAACTGGCATCTATCTGACTGGGCATCAGGATAAATTGAGGCACTCCTAGGGGAGTAATTTATCTGACTGGCCTTTTTATGGTGCATGTGGAAGTAGAGGGCTGGAGATTACTTGAACAGTGTCTAGCTCTAGGCAGGACATGATCAAGACAAGCTTTTGGACTTTTGGTGCACCTTGTGGTTTCCGAGTGGTGTCTGAGGCCAGGGATGTGGAGGGTGATATATGACAGCAATATGGATTTTCCAAAGTCTACACACACACCCATGCCCTCTGACCACTATAAGAAAGGTTTTTCAGACAAGGAGAGTACTTCAGGCAGTACTTCAGGCATTAGAAATTTGGCCAATGTAGATGAGTCATGAAGATTACATTTTTCTTTTTCTCTTCAACAGCAGTGTAGTGGAGGATGATGGCACACACTGTCATCTTGGCATTACAGTATGGGTGAATGTGTCTCAGGTTTTATAGGGGTAAGATCTGGATCTGGATGAAGAGCATGGTGAGATGTCATGGTCAGACTGTCAGAGGTGCTTCTCCTCTATTACAGGGCAAGAGCTTCAGCTCTTTCTGTCCATTGAAACAAATATTTTCCCTTTTCCCTCTTTTTCTTTAATTGAAATCAGGAATGAGTTTTGAGTCCTCTCTCTTCAATTGCTTTCACCTACACCTACCAGCATCTTCCTGACCTGGAAGCAAACCACTGCCCCTGCTTGGGAAACGATCAGGACCTTCACCAGGGAGGGTGTGTCCAGCCTAGGGGTGGGCCAGAGGAAGGAGTCACTGGGTAGCAGCAAGTTCAGAGAAGACCATCCTAAGATGTCTCATCTCCTTTACACCCTGCTCTGCCCATGCAGGAGGAGCTCTCTGAAGAGTGATCTTTTGTGAAAAATCCCTGAAAAGTCCCTGAACTGGGAGTACTCTTCCCTAGATGCAAGGTGGAGCTCAGCTCCTGGCTGGCTGTGGGGAGGCAGAGCTGCCTCTCTCTGAACAAGTCTTCTCATCCCACCTCATCATCATAACATGCTACTCTCATTTCTTTCTAGAGCATGACCTGCTTCAGCCCCTGAACTCTAATGCTAATTTTCTTCAAATGTTCTTAGCTAGACTCTGGATGAATTTACTCAAACAGTTTCCAGAGTCCAGACAGACCTTATGTTCATGTTTCAGACGGCACTTCCTTGCCTGGAGGCCACAAATCTAGCAGACCTGATTTCTCAGATCAGAGTAGTGCTAAGAAAAACACTTTCTGTGTTCTCCAGATGTTTCATAGTTGAAAGCCATGTTTTAAGTCAGATGACTGCAAAAACATGCACTGTGTCTCACCATAACTATAAAGCAGCCACACTTCATTTTTCTGAAGACAAATCTGGATGATGCTTGTCCTTTCCCCTGCAATAACGATCATCTCAATTTTATCTGGGCAATTTGAAAGACCATGTGTGTTCTCCTAGATGATGTGACCTAATCTGTCAGCCAAAGACAAAACTGGCTTCTCAAGAGCACCTTTTAATATTCATAGCCTTTGGAGATCTCTTTTCATTGAAGGTAATGCTGGTTAGGGCCTTGGTGTTTATAAAAAGAAAAGTTCTCAAACCCCACACAAAATTTTCCTTGTAGTTGGTAATACTCCTCCTCTTGTTCTCTTTTTTATTCACCAAATACTTAGTTTGTGCTTATGCTAAAGTGCAACCACCTGGTTGTCACGAGGTCCCTTATTCCACTGTACGAAGTTTGTCACAAAATAAGAAAAGAGTTAACATCTCTATAATGGAACTGAAAAAGAACAAATGTGGTGATAAGATCCCATAATTCTGCTATGGAGTTCGAATAATCTTGATTTGTTTAGTTTATGTTATTATGTTTCTCAGGTCACTTCTCTTAGCGCATTTCTTGAATTAGTTGATGCTTTTGCAATGATCGTCAGTGAAGTATTTATTATCACTGTTAATATTCATTGTGTGTCTACTTTGCCAGTTGTATGATGTAGAGATCTCCATGCCAGACTGCTTCTGGCATTCTTTTCTCAGATGGGCGGGTGCTAATATCTGCATGCAGCATTGCAGCTTACAGTATAGCTATACCTGAACAGGACAATTTATATTGTCAGAGATCCCTGTAGAATAAAAGGTTAGAAGTGTGCTGTCTTTTAAAAGAAATATGAGATTCTGGAGCAAAGCTTGGTGGTCAGAGATTAAATCATTGCATGTTCTGACTGCAGAAAAAGGAACCTTCAGTACCAATAGCTTGGACTTGCAAGCTAGTAATCCTACAGTGAGGTATGTGGGCCCTGGAGTTGAAACATTGCTGCATTACTTTCAAAGCATGTGGAAGCTTGCTGCTGTGCAAGTACATGCTTTTTCTTCTGGAGCTGTGTTGAAGGTCCTGTCTCGTTCAGGTCAGCTAGCTCTAGTGCCCCAACCAGCACCTCCCAGCACTCTTCAGCTTAAATAGGTCCTGAAGCTCAGGCAACATAAATCAAGGACCTCTGCAAATCAGGTTTGTCTGTGCTGAACTGGATCTGCTGGCATGGTGAGCTGTTCTGCCACCAGCTCTGAGGGTGGGTAACATAGCTCTTCTGTTCCCTTCACTGTGATTGTGGGCTAAAGCAGAGCTTCCCTGCCCAGCACTCTGAATGTGCTTCTGCAGGAACAGAACCTGCTTTCTACTGCTAATTCCTGCAGGGAGAGGAGAGTAAAAACAACTGCCCCCTAGGAGAAAGACCTCTTGACCTGGCTTCTGTCTGGGACCCTGCTGAAGCTTGCCTACAGACCACTCTGCTCGTTTCTGAGACTTCCCTACATGCCACCGCTTAAGAGGCAATTGTGATGGCATGGCAGCTCATAGGGTGTGCTAGCGGGGTGAGGGGGCAACACAGGGAGAAAATTAATGGCTGCAGTGGAAAAGGGAAGCAGCATGCTTGGAAAAGCAGGAGAAGGCAGTATGTTAATTCAAGTCTTGGGGCAGAGGATTTTCTCCTATTTCAGACAAAAGTCTCCATTGCTGTTTGTGATTTGCTTTTCTGTAGTGAATCCCACGAAAAGGTGAGAAAAGACTAAGAAGGAATCAAGCATAATCTGGTATGATCTGCACAGTGGTGAAAGAGAAGACACTCTGCCTGGCTCTGCTGTCACATGGATATGAATACATCTTACTTCCTGTCTTCCTCTTTTCTGATTTCTTGGTACAGCTCCTCTGCCTCTCTTCATGTGCCTCTGCAGCCCAGGCAGCTGCTGGATCCAAACCCACACAGGAGAGCAGATGCTCTTTTTCCAGTAAGACTGTGAAAGAGATTGAAAAGAGTGGGAGCCCAGCTTCCACAGAATAACAGCTTAGACTAATTATGTTTTTGTTGATCCCTTAGAAGATTTAGGTTTTTAAAGGTCTCAAACTTCCCCTTGCCACTGACTATGACTAGTCAGCCTGGGAAGCTGTGTGTGGTTGACAGGTCATTGGGAAAAGTACCTAGGAGGATGTGAGATGGTTTCTAACATTTTCTACATCAGGCCTGCAGCGTGCTTTGCAGGGAGGTTGATGTGGAGCCGTGCTGCAGCCCTGGGAGGTGGTGGTCCTGGAGACAGCACTCTGCCCTGAGTGCCCACAGAATGAGTCCGACGAATGAATTTTGTACTGTGCTGTACTTCAGGAAGCAAGCAGTGTGCAGGTAAATCTCAAATGGCAATTTAGCAGGGCAGGTTGCAATTACACTTAGAGGCATGTGGTCAGGAGGAAAGTAGGGCAAAACGTTATTTAGAAGCCCTGATGACATTTTCCATACTGTAACGCAAATACTCTAATCCCCTCATCGGGTGCCTTGGAAGCACCTACATTTTCTATCTAGGCCTGTCATCAGGTGCCTTGGAACCACCTTTGTTTTCTAAACATTTGTTTTCCCTGTAAGTTTTCACGGTACCTCCTCCTGCTCTCACAAACCTTAAAGCCATAGTTGCTCAGCAGCTGCACTGTGCCTAAATGTCACTTGGTTTCACAAGCTGCATGCTCTGTTGTTTAAGCTGCCCGCAGGGCTGGATTCAGTGAGCTTTTTACCGCTACAGCTTTAGCAGTGCCCTGTAATGTGGAATTGTACCATCGTTGCCTCTCCACTGCCATGCTTGTCCTCCCGCAGGGCTTGAAAGGCCTCGAGGCTGTGGCGCTGGCCCAGGTGCCAGCCCTTGTGCCACTGTGTGAGGGTTGCGTGTGGCAGCGATGGGAGCGGCTGCTTGGGCAGCTCCAGCGTCAGCCCAAGAGCCTTGCTCCCGTCAACCACCACAGCTTCAGTGGCAGATGGGCTCATCTCCATGGAGTGGGTGCCTAGATCCCGTGTGCCATGGGCCGCCACGGTGTATTCGCTGGCCGCTTGCCTACGGGCACGACTATGGCAGCACAGACACGAGTCCCACCGGGGCAGCGGTGCAGGAGGGCAGGCTGGTGCGCTGCCCGCGTCCCAGCAGCCATCTCCCGGGCTGAGCCCGTGTCACCCGCTCCCCGCCAGGGGGGCCCTGCCGCTCCGTCCCCGCCGCAGCTGCGGCGCCGAGCGCAGCCCCTTCGGCAGCCGGGCCCCGCTGACCGCGCCGGCCCGGCCGGGAGGAGGAGGAGCAGGAGGAGGCGCGGAGCCCTCCGCCCCCTGCGGCGGAGCGGGCGAGGCGTTAGGACCCGGCGGCGGCGGCTGGGCGGTGCGGGGCCGGGGCCGGAGCCGGAGCCGGAGCGGTGAGGGGCGGGGGAGCCGCGCCGCCGCCTCCTGCTCTCCTCTTCTTCCTCCCGCAGCCGCCCCTGCCCGTCGAGGCAGCGTTCCCAGGCTCTCCCGGGGCGCTCGGCATGAGGAGGATCAGGGCTAATGCCATCGCCATCCTGACCGTCGCCTGGATCTTGGGCACTTTCTACTACTTATGGCAGGACAACAAGCCCCGCTCGGCGGCTGCCGGCAGGTCCGCCGGAGGCGGTAGCGGCGGCGCCCGGAGCGGGCAGAGGGCGGCCGGCAGGCTGGAGCTGCGCCGGGAGGAGAGGACCATCCCCCTCATCGTGAGTGAGCGGCGGCCGCCAGCATCCCGTCCTGCCGCGGCGGGGAGGATGCTCGGGGAGGGAGCCGCCGGCGGAGGGCTGCGCTTTGCCTTCGGGTTGCTTTCTGTTTATTTTAGCATTCGTGCTTGTCACCATGGCAGCCGCTACAATCGGGGAGCAGGGTGGGCACTCTCGGGGGAATAGAGTAATGCCGTGGGTAAAGTGTTTGCGAGTTGTCTCCGCCGCTCTCAGCCCGGGCTCTGCTCCTCCGGCTGAGAGCGGTTGCCCTTGGCCGAGGAAAAAGGCGGGTGAAACAGCTGGAAGGTTTTAAGTTCGCGTTCGGAAGGTGCTCACATGCAGATATGTACGCACACACGCACGTATGTGATCACAGTGCTTTCCCGTCAGGAGCGGCTGAGAGCCATGACCTCTCACAAGCCCTTCCTCCGGCCGGCCGGGCTCCGAGCGCCGGGCCGGGGGGATGCGAGTGGCTACAGCTTGTACCAGCCTCTGCCTCGGCCCCTCCGCTTGGCTGCCAGAGGGCGGACCTGGGCGCCACTCGGACTTCAGACTCTTTCGAACCAGAGGCAGCAGTGTGAGGCGGGCTCAGGCTAGGGTTTGGGCATGGAGATGGCGGGAGCCCCCAGGGCTCCATTCCTAACCCGAGGAGTGATAGCAGTGCCCTGATGTGCTACTTCAGTTTTGTTGAAAGCACCACGCTCTGCCCTCCTTGGGTATCTGTGGGCTCAGTAGAGGGATAAAATTGAGCTCCTGACTTGAGGATGATGACGACCTTTCTGCTCTGTCCGTGGGGGTGATTTGTCCTCCCTTAAGCCTGTATAACAGCATCAATAAAGCTTTCCCAACTCTAGGCAATCGCTTCATAAAAAATAAATCAGCCCCTGAAGCAAGAAGTGGCCCAGCAATACCATTCCCAGGAGTGATCCAGCTGAAAGCTGTTCGGGAGCTGCACTGTGTGTCACTCTCTGGCTGTGAATCCATTTGTCAGCTGGTTACGCACACATGGAAGCGAACAAAAGCAGCAGCAGCCCGGTCAGAGTCGAGCAGGGGCCAGGCGCCAGGGCTGCCCGCCTCCCTCCTTGGCTGCCACTGGGATTTTTTGGCCTGTGTCTCGCTTTCTTTCACCTGTAATGCGGGGATGGGAAGTGTTTATAGGTGTTTGGGAAGTCCTGTGAATGTTTGGAAAATGCTGTCAGAGCAGTCCCAGCCCTCAGGCAGCAGGGTGGAAACTCTTCAGCTGAGCCCCTTGGCCATTGCTTGCAGCTGCTGAAACTCAAAAGTCAAGGCTGAGGCTCTCGGACAGAGCACTTCTGTTATTTGCTGCTCACTAGGGCTGGGAGCTGCCGGCAGTTCAGGCTGCTTTGGACCCTCTGTGGAGCAGGGCTGTGGAAATGAGCACGGTGAGGAGCTCTGTGCAAGTGCTGCTGTTGCTGAAGCCCTTCGGGTGCACTGGGAAATGCTCTTAGGCTGGCCAGGGCTGAGTTGAGGATTTAGAGCACTCCTGCTTTTTTGATTCCACCTTAGTGGCAGAGGAAGCTCTCCCTGAGCCTCTGATTTCTTGTGTGAGCTTGAACATGCTGGTGTAGCAGTTTTATTTCTCTGTTCCCCCGCTTATCCCTTCTGGTTTTTTATAGCATTTACTTTACTCCCTCTCAGAGGGCTTGTGAGGTTACATGAATCCATATTGTCTGCCAAGCACCTTAAAATCCTCATGAGGAGGATGCTGTGGCAGTGCCACACATGATTATGTTGCTGCTGTTTGGGGGGCAGTATGTGCTCATGGCTAACCACAAAGCCTCTCCTTACAAGATACACTGCCGCACAACAGCCACTCCAAATCTGATCCTGCTCTCAAAACTGTGTAAATCATTCCAGTGCTACTCCATGCCTGAAATCCCTTAGCAAGGAAAAATAATCATCCTTTGCATCTCAAGTCTCTCTGTAACTGGGGTCCTAGGATGTGCCAGCCTCCCACCAGGGCTTTCAGTAGCAGCTCAGATGAAGGAGGACCCCCTTCTTATGCACCTGGTTAGTGGGGCATGGTGGAAATTTCACATCCTGACCTGCCATGATGTATTTGGATAGAGTAGGAAACAGGAAGGGTTTGTGGTGTTTGGGTTTTCCCTCATGCATGCAGGTTTCCCAAGGGTTTGGTGGGTTGCCGTGAGAGGCAAGGTGGTAAAACGCAGTGTGTGTACTCATGTAACTATGCAGTGCTATGGCTGTGGGGAGCCTGACAGGCATAGCAGTGATGAGGCTTGCACAATGAGCTGTCCCAGCCTTGGCCTCTGCCTGCGCTGCTGGGGCAGGAGCAGGGAGGTGACTGCGTGTGGGCACAGGGCAGGAAGGTTGGTGGAGCTCTGGGGACAGCACTGTCCCTCGGAGTGTGGCATCTAGCAGGGTCTGAGCAGTGGGTCTCGTGGTCTGAGCTGTGTGAGCCTGAGGGCCGCTCAGGCCAGGGCAGTAGCTGTGCACACTGTCCTCAGCATGTGGCCACCTTTGTTCCCCAGCACAGCGCACTACCCTCTCCCAGCCAGCACAGGAAATGTGCCAGTTCTATTGCCCCACTGGGGAAATAACAAATCTAGAGAAGCAGCTGTCCTTTGGCAGCACAGAGCCCTCAACCCCGAGTTCATTCCCCTCAAAGTCAGATTATCTGACTTAATGTACGATGGTGGTCATGTATAAGGGGAGGTGTGCTCGTGCTCTGCGTGCTTCTCTATCCCTTGGCTTTCTGCAGAGCCAGAGACAAGCTGCCCGTTTTGATTCAGCTTCTGGTTTCCTCTGCTCTGCATGAGTGATGATGTTGGAGTCCAGGTTTGGGCTCATCTGCAAATAAGGGTGACTCATGTGACTTATGGGTCTCTGGAAAAATATTTTTTCAATTTTCTAAAATTGGCTGCTTTTCTGTCTGGGAAAAAGAAAAAAATCTTTCTTTTGGATGAGTGAGTCCAAGAGTTCTGCTCTTGCATCTATGCTGTGACATTTCAAATCCTGGGCAAGTGAAAGTGTATTGCATGGGTTTAAAAACTGAAGTGCTTTCTGGGCTTCTGTTTTTCTCCTTTATTCTCTCTTAATGTGAAGAATAAAAATCATCTCAGGTAAACACTGTAGTCAATTGCAAGTCTCAGCTTGAAACTGTTTTTTATTTGTTGACCTCATATTTATTAGCACAACTTTGAACTTAAAATCTGGATGTCTGACTCCTGGAGTCAGCAGGGAAATCTTTGAATATTTAAGCTGGGGCATGGAGCTGTCAGAGATCAGTGTCCCAGAAACAGCTCGTGCATTAATAGTGATCCTACAGATATCTGTTTTATAGATAGAAATCTTGACATGTGGCCTTTCTGCAATAAGCTCTTCACAAGCAGGCTCTACAGATGCTTGAAATGAAAATTCAGATATTGGGAAATGGCAGGGCTCACTTGGTGACGTGACTAGCTCCTGCAAGCTTCTCCCTCCACTTACCACGGAGGGTAGAAACACAAGTGAGTACCACACTCCTAGAAATGCATTTTTTTCTCCAGAGCACAGCATAGTTTCATATAGATTAGAAGGAGCCCTAAGACCTCTGACAGTTAGCTTGTGTGTTTTTGGAAGATGAGCTTCCTCCCTGAACTCTTTTCAGTCATTTCTAGGCAAAAAGTTGTTTCCTGTCTCCAGGAAATTTCCAAAGGCGAGAAGCTGTGCTATGTCTCTTTAGAAGGGCTTTGGCATCATTCCTGCACTATGTACAGGTGGTTAATTGTGCACCATGTGCTGCCTATCTGCTTTAGGATGGCAGTGATGAGCAGAGCCCAGGGCTCTGTTCCTCCCTGTCTAAAGACTGCAGCGTGGCAGGCTCGCCCAGCGCACTCGTGTCCCAGTGAAGGGAGCGAGGCCATTGCTGCAGCGTGGGCAAAGCTTGTTAGCGGGAGGGATGGTTGGTAGGCAGCTTTGAAAGAGAAATTTTTCTGTTGGCTGACTGTGAGCTGAGGGTGGGAGTATTTTCTCCTTTTCCCTAGTCAAATGCAGGATGTGAGGTTGCCCACAGGGTTCTCCAGCTTGCTGACTTCTCTGGGGTGGCAGGGAAGCAGCAACATGCCTGGAAGGTGGAGATAAAGGTGTCATTATTTAAATGCTCTGAATTGTGTTTAGGCTGATGCCCTGTTGCTCTTTGGAGCAGGTATGATGCCTCTTATCTTTGTAAATTGCTCTTTGGATTTTGGTGTGCTGTCTCTTGTCTTCATCCTGCCAGCTTCTGTGAGCTGTGTAGTTGCTCTGTGAGCCCTCTGGAGCCAGATTGGCAGGGGACAGGCCCTGTATTGTAATGCTGGCTCAGGTGACCTGAGCTCAGCCCTCCTGGCTGCTCCCTACCGCTGTGCTCAGCCTTGTAAAATGAGCACTGGGGAGATGAGATCAAGGTACCCTTTTTCCTTGTAGCTAAGGGTTTCTAAATGCACTGCAAACATCACTGAACTGTGTGTCACAAGCCTGTGGTGAGACAGCAAGCAGGAGATTCCACTAGGATGCTTGCCTCAGAACAGGTGGTGTGTGTAGGCAAAGAACAAGTTGGCGAGGAAAGATGTCAATTGTTTAATTCCCACATCTTGTTTAGCCAGAAAACAGGCAGTGGCTGGGCTTTACCTGCTTCTCTGAATTGCCAAACTGGCACATTTAGCCATGCTTGTATTTGCCATCAAGTAAGACCACCTTGATAGATGCTCTTCAGACCCTGGAACACCTAGTTAACAGCACGCTCTGCTGCTTTTGTTTTGTGTTGCCTGGGTATCTGAACCCACAGAGCAGGTGCTGGCTGATGTTCACCACTCATTCATCCATGATTTTATTCTCATCTCTTCATCACATTTCCTCTGTGTGCAGCTTTCAGAGGATGCTGTTTTCCTCACAATGGGGATAAGCTGCAACTTTAATGGTTTGCTAAATGATACCATTTTTCAGGGACCTGTATCTCTTGAGGCTCCTGCATGTGTGCCTCCCTGGAGGCAGGTCTTGTAGCC